CGGGGTGGCGTGTGTGGGCCTCGAAGGTGCTTCCCCCAGAGCGAGGGGGAAACATCTTGCTTCTTCCTTCTCCAGAACGCTTAAAAAGTGTAGTTGGCTCGTCAGTTTTAAGCTGGTTGTTTTTTCTGATGCTTCGCTTGGGTTGTTTTTTGTAAGCAGTGACCAGATGTCAGGCTGTCGCTGTGACTGTTCAGCTTGCGAGGTGGGACTTTCCCAGCCTGTTTTTCGTAATGTCCCTTAACATCACTTCACCTGCAACGTGCGCTCTGTCTTTGCAAGCTCCTTGTTTGCAGTTCTGTCATTGTAAAGCCCTGGGTCTCTTTCCTTAACAGCTCCATGTTGAACTCTTGGCTATGCGTATTGTTCTTCTTGTTGTCCTTTCACTTATTCATGGAAACTTCTGTTGGCAGTTTGATTGAAGTGGCTTTAGACTCAGTTGACTGAGAGCATGTTGTTAGTGGATGGTATTAGATCAGTATTGTTATTAAGTGTTCCTTCATTCTTATTCCCGGTAGACGGCTGTTTTCTAGGAAGACAAATCTTCATGAAAACTAGCCATTTGTTTGTTTTTTTTTTTTTCCCCCTCCATAGTTTTTTGTAATCTGTGTCAAACTGGTTCTTCTTAATTGCTCAGTTCTCTTGCTGGTGTCTTAAGGAAGAGATTTTCATCTATCTTGTTAATTAGTACAGAGTTTGTCAGTAATAAAACCTTGGAGAATCTGCTGTTTTTATTTTTCACTGAATCTGAAACAACAATGCAGAGATAGTATGGGTTAAGCGTGCTATGCTGTTTAAAATTTATGTCCTTATTTTGTAGTAGCAACTCTGTTTTTAGATGTTGTTTAGCCCTGGTGACTTGTAGTTTCATCAGTTTACTTTAAGAGCTTTCTATTTTCCTTGTATTTCGCAGCGAAAATGGAGGTATTTTATTGCCCAGAGAGGTGGTAGATGCCCCATCCCTGGAAACATTCAAGGTCGGGGCTCTGAGCAACCTGATCTAGTTGAAGATGTCCCTGCTCACTGCAGGGGGGTTGGACTGGATGACCTTTAAAGGTCCCTTCTAACCCAAACTATTCTATGAGTCTGTGATCACTGTGTGAAGTCAGTCTTTCACTTTAGGGAACTATGTTGTACAAATACACAAAAGAGTGTGCGCTCAAGGAACTGAATTTTGTGAAGGTAAGAACTTCACTTACTGGAAGACGCTTCACCATTTAAACAGGCATGCTGGGTGATTAAAGCTTGCTGGAAAAAATGGCCAGTGGGAAAATGTACAAGTCAAATATATGTAGGGCAGTAAGATACCAAATAATAAAGACTCCTTTAACTTGATTATAAGTATAGTAATGTTACTCCAGATATGATCCTGATGGCTGCAGGAAGAATAACAAAGGTATTTAATATTGGAAGATGAAGAACTATCTCCTTGATGCACTTAAATTTAAGAATTTCATGGGTTCTTGCAGCAGAAGCTTTGAAATATAGACCCAACTTCTGCCACAGAATTGGGCAGAATTGAGCAAAAGCTCAGTGAAACTGAGGTCTGATTCCAGTAGCAAGTAAAGCAAGTTTAACTCTCTGCTCTGTTGGGTATTGCTGTCTTTTTGACAGCTTATGACTGCCTTAATGGGATGGTTACACAGGAAGCTGAAGACTTCAGTGGTTTCTATAAGGATTTAAAATACAGCTTCAGATATATGATGAAACCTGTGAGGCCATTTGGGGATCTGGAAAAAGCGTGTTGCTTAGACATCCTAAAATAGGCAAAAGTGAGCATGTCTCAAGGAACTGTGTTCTGTATGTATGTGAGAAAAACAATTTTCTGAACACAAGTTTCCTGTTCCTGTTAACTTTCATGTAGCTGAGTTTTAAAATTGGGGCTATACTGATAGAACAGTGGAAATACTTCAGTCCCTCTTACGTGGAAAATAGTTTGGTCAACTGGGAACTTTCCTTTCATCAAGATAGTGTAACTGCCATACTAGGGCAGACTAATATCCCGTCTCCTTCAGTAGCAGATGCTTGGGGAAGAGTATGAGCGACAGGTATGCTCAGTGTGATGCTTCCTCTGGTGGACCCCATCAAAAGGTGGGAAACAGCAGTCCAGGGACTTCATGAACTTGAGGTTACACCTAGATAGTGTTTGAGTTAACGACGGACTTGTCTGTGAACTTATGGAGCCTTGCCTTGAACTGTGTGCTTGTCCTTGTTTGCCTAGAGAGTTGTTTGAGACCTTAAGCTGCTGCTTCTAGGTTAGGGGAGACCTGCAGTAAGAAAATGCAACAGGCAGAGCTGAGTTTTGTTTTAGCCCCAGCTCATTTAGTTCATCGTCAAAGACCTGAGGGACACAGTATGTTCAGTAAAATAAAATGAAGTTAGCTTTGAACTGCTTTTGGAGTTCGTTTGTTTGAATATAAAGAGAAACAGGAACTCTTCATGTTAATATACAGCAAGATAGAAGTAAGGAGTGAACAGAAAGTGCTGTTTATTAAAGGAACAGAAGTTATTTCCGCTGTGAAGCCCCAGAATGTCTGGAAAAGCAGTGTTTTTGACGTCTGACATGTAACCTAGTTATGCTCTGCTATATGGAACCACAGATCAATCAATGGTCTGTTGAGAGTGAGACTGTAGGATGTTGATATTAATGACACACTTCCCCTCAGGACAGACTTGGCTACTCTGCAGGAAGTGGGGTGAATACTAGGGTATAAAGTCAATGTTTTGACACATCTGATCATAGACTAGCAATATTTCTCTGTGGAGACATAGAAACAAGAACCGGTGAATTACTTCACAATTTCTAACTCTAATATTATCCTTCATGTTAATTCTTATAGGATATTAGTTCTTTTATTAGCCCTTAAAGTTTAAAAGAGTTTGTTCTGCTTTATCCTGCTTGTCCCTGAAATCTGGAGTGCACCTCAGGCTGCTGAGTTGTGAGGGTAGCTCTCATACCTCTGGTGCTTTGTCTCTTAAATCGTCCATTCCTGTTGGCTCATAGCCACTACAAATACTTGTTGCTTGGTACAGTATTGTGTGTTCTGTAGTGATCACTTTTAAAATAGTAGGGCATTCCTTCTAAATCGAAGTGATGGAATTGAAGAGTGGCATAGGAGTAGGCATAAGTACAAAAGCGGACAGCTGGGCTCTGGGCTGACGTGGGGGAAGCCGGGCGTTGAAGTCAGAGGAGATGGACAGGACAATGTAAGGAAAGAGGAAAGGATAAAAGATGAAATGGACGTGGAAAACACACACTATGATCTAATGGGCTATTGGATAATGGAGCTGTGAAAGGAAGGAAAACAGGCATTTAGAGATTATTTTCAGCACTATTTATTTAATTGAAGTGCAGTAAGTATCTCCTCTGGACTGTATGGCATACAACATGGGATTAGGCTTGTTTGACTAAGAAATAGTATTTCAGAAAATACCAAGTATGTATTCTGGTGTGTTTCTGAATACGAAGTATATGCTAAGCATGTGCGCAGGTATTTCCTCTTTTGGATGAAATTCCAGTTGAACTGTTAGACCTAAGTTTGATTTATTTTACTCAGGAATACTGTATTCACTTCTTGGACCACCACAACTAACTTGCAAATATTTCAGTATACAGTTTGACTTTTACAACTGGTAAAGATAAATGTGTAGTTAAGAAAGCTATCTCAGCCCTCTGTTAGTCTTTTAGTGAAGTATAAGTAAATAAGAAAAAATGAACATTCACAGCAAGCCTCACCATGATGTGGAGCTTTCCTGTGGAGAGATTACTTGTGGAAAACTATAGAACAACATTAAAATATCCTGTGTTCTCACAGTCCTACTATTTGCTGTCAGCCTTGAAAGAATGTATGTTTCAGCCAGTGTTCTTGGAATGCTGGAAGTGATAACTGGTTCCTTCATTACTTGAATCTAATAAACAATGTTTTTCCCAGTATGTTTACTAAAAATCTTGTTTTTCATTGTTGGGATTACCTCTGGCACAAATGTCTGGCTATGGATAAACAGAAATATTACCGTGGGGTAAGGTAGGTCAGAGTTCTTAGCATGTAATTTGCCACAGCAGGCTATGCACGGTCTCTCTCCTGAGAGTGATGAGCAACATTCAGTATCCATAGGCCTATATACATATTTTGCAATAGTGATGAAAAACCCCAAATTCTCTGACAAGATCAGAGTAATCTGGATTCTAGCATACAGGGAATGATTTTGACTTTTTACTCATTTTCTGTCCACAGTTGTTTACCTCCCTGTGGGCTGGGAGGCGAGGAAATGCTCTCGGTTGTGGTGAGACTGTAGGACAAAGAGCGGGAATCATTTGGGATCCCTCTCCTGCCCTAAGTGTTAGGACCCTGTTAATATAGCATAACTGCTACTTGACCTTACTGCCTTAAACTTGATGTTGCATTACACGTGGTGGCTCTTTTATGCTTCAGCACTTCAGGAAGACATGTCTCCCCAGACAGACTTGGGGAATATATTTTAGCCCCTTTAAACATATTTTTTGGGGAGAGCTGAATGTGGTCCCTGGGTATTGCAAATTGTGCAGTTGTTCTCTATACTTGGGTAAAAACCAAGAAGAAGTGAAGAAGAGGTGAGCCTTTCCTTAAGAAAAACAGTTTCTCTATTGTGCTGTCTTCCCACAGCAGAGAATCTCCCCACACAGAGAATCTGCGAGGAGCATGGTATCTCCTTTCCCTGGCACTTCATGGTTTCATAGTGCTGTCAGCTGAAGTTGGTTTGAACTAACAAGAAGGATGATGTGTTATGAATTAGTATGGTGTGACGTGTCAGCCTGCCGTTTTGGTATGATTTGGCACTCTGTACCATTACAACTGATAATTTTCGGATGTTGCTGTATTGCCTACCACTGTTTGATAACCTGGAAAAAGGAATGTAGCACAAGGTGGGCACACAGGTGGGCAGCAGTAGGAAGTTTCTAAAACCTTCAGCAAAGTTGAGATCTTTGTTTCTAGCATTTCTGAGGCAATCCAAAGTTAACTTTCCTCGTTTGCATGGTGTCCTACAGGTATCTGCTTTTAGCTGTTGCTGGTAGTAGGGTTTTCTGTGTTGTATCTTCAGTAAGAAGTGCCACAGTGCTGCCTGGGGTATTCAGAAAGGCGGAAGCTACAGATGAAAAAGTTTTTATCTAGAGGTGTGTGTGGCTTTGAGTGGTCATATATGGAAAGCACCTGCATGCTTAACTTCAACAGATGGTCAGAGGGTGAAGTTTCCTGAGGTCTGAGTGGATTTAGTAGTTTGTGGAAATGGAGAGCCTTGCTTCTGCTGCTTCCCTTTCTTTTGTTTCTGTGCTCATCTGACCTGTTGATGAGCCAGTTCTGCTAACAATAGGCAGTAACAACAAAACCAAATGTAGCACAAGTACAGACTTTCCAGCTGATCTTACAAACCAAATTACCTCACCATGTAGTCAGACGAACCGGGGATAAAAGGAGTGGGTGGGCGAGTACGAACTGTATGACTGATTAAAGGGCTGTTGAGAAGCATGCATTTTAGTGTCAGCAGGCTCTTAATTTACTTCTAAGACTGCGTTGCCCCAAAACTGAAATCCATTAGAAAAACAAAATTGAATCAGAGTGGAGATGTTAGCTAAACTTAGGGGTTCCTGCACAACTTGCACTGACTCACGGTGAGTTAACAACTTTTCTTCACAAACATCTTTGCCTTCTCTCTTAAAAGAGCAAATACAAAATGTGACATTAGTAGAATTTAATGTATTTTAATATCCTCCCATGGATAATGAGCCCAGCAACATGGATTTTTCAGCAATGTTCATGGCTTGGATTCTAGCTATCCCTGGTGCATATGTATGAAAACTGTCTTTAAAACATTTATGATTTTATTATGGGGATATAAATGTTGACTTCCAAATAGAACTGTTCTGGAGGCTCAGCTGTTGGAAGCTGTTGTATGTTGTAGGAATTCTGCCTATAGTAAGCACTTCAATGTGGGTTTTTGTCAACAAGAGTGAAACTGGATTTTACAAGCCCATCGCAGTGTTTGACTGAGGGCTCTATTTTGCTGTGAATGAGTTGCTTGTTAAAGCAACTAAAATGTTAATTCCTTTCAGAAGATAACCAATTTAACCTGTAACCAAAACCCAAACCACTTGTTCAAAATTATTTGCCTCCATGATACCTGTTATAAAAGCTTCATTGTGTTTTAACAACTGGGTGTAAGCTCAAAAGAACTTCTTTGGGGTCTATTTTTTTTTTTTTGCTCAGGTCTTACCTGCCAACACTAGCATAAACTGGTACTCATTGCAATAAGTATGAACATTCAAGCAGTGTGTATACATAAAAAGTAGTTATTACATGCCTTATGATATCTCCCAAAGTACAAGTTACTGGGAAAACACCTAGTTTAAGTATACTGCTTTACTGTTCTGTAGCAGTGACTGTTAGCATATAGTTTGTGAGCAGTGTTGCATTTAGTTGCACACAAATAGTGATAGTAGAAGGCATAGCTATAAAGCCACTAGTAAACCCAGAGTTTAGCTTAGAGCTACCAGTGGTGAAGAGGCAACACTGGGAAAACGTGTATGCATTTCTTCTCTGAATGCAGCAGTGTTCAGCTTGAGCCATGTTTGCATATTAACTTATTTAGCTGACAAGCATGAACTTTGATTACAATTTACTTGTACAACATCCAGACTTAGAAGTCAAAGGCAGCAAATTGTGTTTGTTTTCTGCATTAGCTGCCAGCTATAGCCACAGGTTTCTTTCTTCACACAACCACTGCTTGCTTTTTATAACCTTTGCCTCTTTTCAACCTGTCTCGAACATCTCTGCTGTTCTCATGACATGGTTTCCTGGTGGTTTTAGTTTTGCTGTGCAGCCTTCAAGCTTTGTTTTGGGTCTTCTGAGTGTTGACAGCAAGTGGTTATATGAATGGCAAAGGGGGGGGTATTTTTATGCTCTCAGGGGCTTTTGTTTCTCTCTCTTTAATCTAGCAAAACTGTTACTGCTTATGCCTCCTTTTGATTGCTTGCCTTGATTTGCAAGGATGCTGGTGACAAACTAAAATTAGCTTGCTTACTGCTGTGGCCTCGGGGGGGGGGGGGTGGGGTGGGGGGTGTCCAGTTAACTAATAGTTATCCAGAAAGACTCCAATGCATGTGAAGTGATTCCGTCTGGGAGGAGGAAGTTGTGAACTGGCAGAACAGGAAGGGTGTAGCGTGTCCTCTAGTTTAATAGTCTTTCAGCTGGAGATTTTAGTCCAACTATCAGTGCCTCAAGGCTAGAATAAGTGATACTGAGAATTTAATACATTTTTTTTGTGCAATTTGGGTCCAAACTAAAGGATATCCTGTGACCAGTTTTACCTCTTGGTTTTGAGATTCTGAAATCCCTTTCCCTATAATCTTCATAGTACTGTTCAAGTAAGTTTCATACTTTGATTGCGATAATACATGTAAGAAAATCAGAAGCAGATAGTGAAGGATGAAGCTTGAAAAACTGAAGGGTACATTAGAAACAAATATTAAGTAATATGTAGAAAAGCTTATGAATGAGCTCTGGGAGATGGTGTTGTAATACTAAGTTTATGCTTACCCATTTACATGTGCTGAGAGAACTTAAAAAGTACTGGTGTAAGTAACAGAAATAAAGCATTACAAATAATGCATTTCCTTTTTTGTGTTCACAGCTGCATGTAACTGACACTGTGGGTGTCAAACCACTGACTTAATTATTTAGCTGGTAGACTACTGACCTTTAGTGGAAGGAGCACATTGTAAAGTTATTCTCCTTAATTTAGGAAGTTTTTTTCCTTTATTATAATTTACCTATTTGCTAGACTGTGAGGAATTTAAGAGGGGGAGTGCTGTTATTTACAGCATGTGTTGAAGGTACAATCTTTGCAAAGTAATTATTCTTTCTCTCTTTAGGAAGTACACATAAAGGAACCCATAGAAAAGGAAGTAAATCCTCACTTATTACCAGGTAACTATTGTATGTTGTATTATTAGAATTAAATAATAAAAAACGAATCATGTAAACAATATTTAAATATTCCCATCTCTGCAGCAAACACTCATGTGACAGCAGTGTCCCAAGTAGTAAATAGAGGGTTTGGTGTAACAACCCATACAGGTTGAAATGTTTTCAATATCTGTATCTGCATGGGTTGTTGAAAAACTCTATACAAATTTCAATTTTTATATAGAGTACAGTATCTTCAGGTAAGCTGCATGTGGAGAACTGTCTGTTCTTCAGTTTGCCCTGTTTCTTAAGAGATAGTTGGGTCGTTTTTTGTTTGTTTGGGAACTGGAGACCAAGAGCTAGTGGAAACTTACTTTCTAGTTGTTCTGCTTCTACGATGGAGACTTCTACTACTTAGGCCTTTTGATGCCTCATTCACTCTTAAGATTTCTTTTTTTTTAATTTACAATTCTTTCTTTTTAAAAAATGTTTTCCAAGATCTGGAAAGATGATGTTACTAAGATAAAATACAAGTAAAAGCTTAGAATGAGCTAGTACTGTTCTGTTGGTTTTTCTGCACTTTATAGGAAAGACCAAGAGTCTGGCTGATTATACGTATTAAAACCTGTTTTTACTTTCTTAAACTTGAAGTTCAGTTCCTGCTCATTTTAAGATTAGAACTTCATTGACCGCTATTTATGCAAACTTGTGGTTGAGAACTTTAAAGTAGCCCTGGGACCTGTAAAATAAGCAACATCTCCAGTCAAAGCTATGAAAAGTTAACTATGATGAACTTGTAATAATCAACTCAGATGTTTCAGCATTCTTAGAGTTTACTGGTAAGGAAAATTGGAACAGTTTTCAACTTGTTTATTGACTGTATTACTACTTTTCAGTGGGCTTTGGGGTTTTTTTGAGTACACGCTCATATGGTTGCTCTTTGTAACTCCGCATGTTATTCTCCTGCCGCTTAGAGTAGGCCAAGATACAGGTACTTCTGGTTATAGAACTCCTAAATGTGTGCAGTTGAACAGTGTTCAGTCCATCTTGAGTAATGTTAATAACCTGGAAGGCTCTCAATGTACTGATTCCAGGAGCTGCCTCATAGTCTTTTTGTATAACAGTGATGAAGCATCTCCAGGCATACAGTTATGAGAAGTTGTCAGGATGTTAATGCTGAGTTTAAGATAACAGTTGAAATAATTCAATTACAAATGTCAGTTATGTTGCAAGTCAGTGTTTCTTTTATACAGGTGAACTGCTGCTTTGCGAGGCAAGCACGGTATACAAGTATATACAAGAAGATGGGTCAAATCGTGGCACCTATGGGAAACTTGTATGCACAAACTTCAAGATTGCTTTCCTTGACGATGATTCTGCTTCAGATGATAATGTAGGAAGACAAGTCTTCTAATTATGACCAAACAGGATCTGAAGACATATAGTGTCTCTGACTAAATAATCATGCCTGTCCCTTATCTAAGGATACAGAATTAATATAGATTTATAAGTTTTAATGGCTGCAGACTTAATTTTAATCAGTCTGCATCTGCTTGGTCTATGCAAATCCTTCCTCAAGCTCTAATGACTATTTAAGTAAAAATGGTGCAAGCCTGTATGTGGACATTTACATTAGACATAGTTTATAACTCTTTATATCTTGTGAGTTGGTAATTTTATGAAACTTAAGTTAGAAGAATTAATTGTTTTGAAAATTAAATCAACAGTTTGTTTAAACCTGGTTTCTGGCTGCTCATCTAGTAGCGATTGCAGAAGTGTGAATGTCAAACGTACTTCTAATGTTGTATAACATCTGTCTGACTTCATGTTGGGCTACATCTGCAGAACCATTTCAGGGCTGCACAAGACTGAGCTGACATTCAGTGGAAATGCTCTAGATAATTGTTTGTGTGCCTCAGTAAAGCTCTGTATTATTCCATTCAAAGTCAGGTGTTGACTGCAAAGATTTAAAAACCTGGTACTATTGAGCTGGCAAACACTGAAAAAGCTAAAAAGTCCCCAAATCTTAGAAATTAGTTGAATCTTGTTTCCTTTGTTTTAGGTGTTCAAATTGAACTGTCAAAGGGGAATGGTAATGCCACACTTTTTTTGGTGTGCTTAGGCATCTGAAACGGTCTGGTCCATTTAGGTGATCACAGTGAAGGAGGGCCTACTATATGGCTCTGGAGTGCAAGGTGATCTTGACAGTGAAGATAACGAGAAGAATATGATTTGGCACATGTTGATTATAGTTGGGAGTTTCTTGGGGTAAAATTTCAGGTAGTTTAAATGTTAAACTAAGGCTTCTGCAGCCAAATGTGGATTTTTTGGACCTTCTGGAATTAATTGGGACAAAGCTGCAGAACCCTTTCCACAGATCACATGAGATTTATGCTAAAGTTGGTAGTGACCATGCTAATTTCTGTTCCATCACTAACTTTAAGTCTTGGGTTTATAATATGCCAAGTCAACTATATTTCTTTTAACAAAAATTCAGTATTAGCCACCTGATTCAGAGTAGTGCAGACCTGGAAATAACTTGAATGAAGTTGACTCTGTTAACAGCTGTCTTAATGTAAAATGTAATTTGCTGATGTACATCAGCCTTCTCGTAATAATATTTTACATAATGATATTTAATTGTGGCATCACTCAAATGTAATTTTTAACTCTGAACTCATGGAATGATAAAAGTGAAGGGAGCCCCAAATCACTTCATGTTTGGCAAAACAGCAGATAAGAGAATTGTGTTCTGCGTGTATTCATTTTACCCAGTGATAAATCTCGCTGTTATGTTGGAATATTCTTGGGATACTTTTTCTTTTAACAGACTTTCTATTTCCTGCCAGGTTCCCATAGCGAGGAAATTTGTCATAAAAGGGCTTGGATTACATCAAGTTACTGTATTTCCTGTTTACTGCAATGATTCTAGTTTGAAAAGTGACTCTCAGTAGAAATGCATGCTTTGAAGCTATTTGAAAAGTAAAAACTCCGTCTCAAGCATGGCTGAGACTAAAATAAAACTGGATCTGTAGTTTATGAACTGTACCTATGTAACCTGCATCTCTCTGTATTTTAATAACTGTTCTTCAGTGTTCTGCCTTACACAGCTTGTAGGAATAAGAAGTAATACTGATATTAAAATAGGTTCTGAATACATTCTTTACTTGTGAGAAGGTGCTACTGCTTAGTAGTGTGAGATTCCTAAGATTTTTTTTCATGTTCTAGGAGCCACAATTTAAGAATAAGATCGTAGGAGAAAATGACATAACCCTGCAATGTGTAGATCAAATCTATGGAGGTAGGTCAGCTTTCTCCTCTTCGTTTAACATGCCCACGCTTCTAACTGTCTTATAGTGCTGGTGCTCTTTGTCTGTACTCATACATCCTGTTTAGAAAACTTAGAGTTGTCACTTTGGAAACTAGGATTGGGTAGTCTGGAAAAAATAGCTGCAGTTATATTTAATGATGAAATGGTAGGTAAGAGATCTATCAGAATCCAGTTTTATCCCTCAAGCTTGTCAAAGCTACATTTTGATTAATTGTCTTCCTGGGACGGATGAAACAATTCCTTCAAAATGCCATGATTCAAAGCAAAGCAGAGTGTACTGTGAAGAGGCTCTGATTAAGACTGGTGCACAAGGATCTTCCCGTGTATCAGCTATTTCTATAGATATGGAGGTATTCATTTTATTTGAGCAATAGCACTGCAGAGCAGTACAGGTACCAAATTCCGAAACAATACCTCTCGTTTGTGTAAGGGAGCTTTGTTTTATGAGATTCATGATGTCTTCAAAGTACCAAAGGAGGTAGAAAATGAGGTTTTAATTTACAAGTAAATCAATGAGTATTTCGCAGCAGCACTTACAGGTATGGCTGCATTGCTAAAAAAGGTAAATGAGAATGGGGCTGGTAATTTGTGAGTAGTGGGGGAGGCCTTATTGAGAAGCCTGACTTTGGACTGGCGTAGAGTATTCAGAGTATTTATGAATGGTGGTGTGGATTCATGAAGGAGTGGACTAGGGGGAGACTAGTGGAGCCTGGTTGTAAAACACTATTTAGTTTCATATACAATGGCCTAGTTGGCAACACTTGAAGTTGTGAAATGATACATCCTCAAACAGAAGTGAACAAAGGGCTCTCTTGGGGAATTTATGGTGATTAAAAAAAAATTTTTTTTTTAGGAACTTAAAATGATGTCAGTTGCTTGGGGACTTTCCCTCAGGCAAAACTACTAAATTATGTACTTTATGCATCTCAAAACTTTGATCTTACTGTGCCATCAGAATGTGAATAGAAAAAATCACTGACCAGCTGGCTTGCTGCAAGTTTCGTTTCTACCTTGCACGAAGTAGTTTGAGTGGATTTAAAAAAAGAAGTTGAGTGTGTTAGCACAAGAGCTTGCCAGTCTGTTGTAGGATCCTTGTTTTGACTAGCTGAAACTTGGGCTTGAATTAGTTTCTTGAGAATTTTGAAAAGTCAAGCAGGGATAGCTTTATCAACTGACGGCAAAGTTCTTTTTAATATTTACTTAGACTTTTTAATTTTGCAGTTTATGATGAGAAAAAGAAACTTCTAACTGGACAACTGAGAAAATACCCAGAGAAGCTAATTATCTACTGTAAAGACCTTAGAGTATTTAATTTCTGCCTGAGATACACAAAAGAAGAGGAAGTGAAAAGAGTAAGTATAGTAACTTCATTTGTTTTTCTCTAAGCTTAGTGTTGGGTGTTTAGTTGTGGGGATGAGGGAAGAATGAAATTCACCCTGGGAGATCCCTTAAACTTGAAGTGTTTTGTGATCATTCCCAATTCAGAGAGAAAGTAAGACTTTGATTTCTGGCTAACCTTACTCATTAAACGTTGTTATGTGTAGCACTGGCTCTTTGAAGAAAACAGGAGCTTGAGAGTACTACATGAAATTAGCTTCAGCTCAAGCAAACTTGTAAAGCTGTTCTGTTTGTGATACAATTTTATTACTGTAGACTTCAGCCTTTTTCATACGAAAGCAGTTATTTACCTGGTAACTTGAGTTCTTTTGACAGGTTAATCTGAACTCCAAACTAGGAGTCTACGACCTTATTCAAATAATAAGAGTCGTTCTGCAAGCTGAACAGATATAATACTTTTCATTAAGCCAAGTAGGTATAGTGTCTTGCAGACAATGGAGAAGGCTTTCTAAAAATCAATTTCAGCTGTTCGGGATAGAACCCATTGAACAGTTTTTTTTAAAACCGGGGAGGGGGGTGGTGGTGTAAAAAAAAAAAAAAAAAAAATCCCATTTTTTACACTGACAGTCTTCGTCTGTGTTTGGGTGTTAATTTTTGGTCCTTTCCTAGATCGTCAGTGGTATAGTTCATCATAGCCAGACTCCTAAGCTCCTTAAACGCTTGTTTCTGTTCTCTTATGCATCAGCTGCCCCAAACAACACAGGTAAAAGTTTTTCTATTTTTGAGTTGTATTTATTGCATACTGTTAGTTCCTTAAGCAGTCTGGGGCACTTAGTAGCTGAGTTTGTGCTCAGCTTAAGACTCTACCCTGCTGGCAGATAGCCTCAAAAGATTCATTTTTCTCCTATTATGCATTGTTAGACTTGTTGCTAAAAATCTAAATTGTCTGCTACTGGTTTCTGTGTCCCTTATTCTAGTTGCACAGAAATTTTCCAAGCAAGAGTAGCATCACTGGATTGAAAACTTAATGTGATCAATATGTGCAAATGCATTTCATGTGCTTCTAACTAGAGTGCTCTCATCTAGAAAATATTTTGCTTATTTTATCGGTGTGTTTTTTCTGTACTATTGCAGTGAACCAAACTTCCTGCTCTTAATTCTTAAATTATTACATTTTCAGTGGCATCTGACAAAGTATTTCCCTTTTTGTTCTTATTTGCAAGCAATCTGCTTCTCCCAGGCAACTGCAAAAAAAGCATAGGTTTGAATAGCAAGATTCCAGTGGACACCTGACTTCCTCTTATAGCTGACTTATTACATAATCTTCCCATTTGATCAAACTTGGCTGAATAACATAGTAAGCTGCAAAATTCAAGATAAAAAGTTGTCAGTGCTCTTTCTAGCATTTCACAGTTCAGACTTCAACTGAAGTAATAGTGCTGTTTTGAATTAGGAACCTGATTCTTAGTGTACCAGGAACACCTGTTCCTTTCACAGAGGGAAGTTTTGATGTATCCAAGGTATTAATTGGACACTTACCAAAATATGTCATGGAATTACAGAATCATTGAGGTTAGAAGAAACCTCTGGAGATCATTTAGTTGTGTTCCTGTTCATCTCCCCATGTTTAGAGTAGGCTTAACTACAGCAAGCTTACCAGGGTTGTGGCCAGCTGGGTTTTGAATATCTCCAAGGACTGAGACTTCATGACCTTTCTGGACAGCCTGTTTCATTATTTGACTGTCCTCATAGTGAAAAAGTTTATTATCACATTTAAATGCGATTTGCTGTAGTTCAGCTTCTGCACACTGCCTTTTGTCATGTCACTGGGTGCCACTGAGTATAGATCCATTTTCTTCGCTCCCCTCCCCTGCTTCCACCCCCAGTCAGGTGTTTATACACACCGGAAAGATTTCTTGCCCCTCTGCGCCCCTGGCAACCCTTCTCTTCTCCAGGCTGAATGATCCCAGCTCTTGGTCTCTCCTCATATCGGGTGCTTCAAGCCCGTTAATGATCTTAATGGGCCTTCACTGGACTTGGTCCAGCAGGCCCGTGCCTGTCTTGTACTGGGGAGCCCAGCACTGCAGGCATGGCCTCACCAGTGTTGAGCTGAGAACAGCAATCACTTCATTCAACCTGTAGGCAATGGTTTTTCTAATGCAGCCCAAGAATACATTGGCTGCTTTTGCTGCAAGGGCACATTGCTGGCTCAGGTAGTTTCTGCAGGCTTCATCTGTAACTGGTGTTCAGTTTGAACTACAAATGTCAGAAAGACTGAAAGCTTTTCCAGGTAGAGACTAAGCAAATGTGGGAGAAGCCTAGTCTTTCTAGCAACTTTTAAGTGTTGTTCCAGAATTCTTTCATTTTAATAAATGTCTTCAATTATAAATGCCTAGGTCTCATTCTTTATGAAGTTGTTACAGGACAAACCAAGCAGACTTGAGAAATTGGATTTTATGCCTCTTATGGTCTGATACTCTTAAAATCTTAACTTGTCCCTTAGAGCTCATTAATAATGTCCTGTTTCCAGCTGTAAATATTTCATCTACCTTATCTTCTTACAGTGGAGAGTTTCAACTTGCCATTGTATCTTCTGTGGAAATTGTAGCTCTGTTTGGTATTTCAGTGTTAGCTGATGTTGCAAGATATTTAATTATGATGGGTGTCTAAAACAATTGGCCTTAGTCCATAAATTATATGGTTATTATATAGGATCTGAGGCTAAATCAACCTGCTGTTGTAAATGTTGCTGAGATGGCTACACAGAAATACGGGAAAAGTTCTCAGTTGAGATGATTAAGCCTGAATTGCTGTACTCAATTTTCTACTGTAATCAATTTTCTGCCTGAAATGTTCTATTCAGTGCAAAACTCCTATCCATGATGAAAGAATGAACTTTAAATGAAATGAAATATCTGAATTGCAGAAAGGCTTTTGGTATGATTCTTAATTCTACATTTAAGTCGATATTATTAGATGCCAGTCAGCTGCACTGCTATACAACAGTATTTGCTGCACAGCACCCTGGGTTTTAGGCTGGATGTGGGGACAGCCTCAACTGTATGGAAGTTCTGTTAAGAATTGATTAGTTTCTGTGAGAGAAACTATTCCTGACATTATTAGTTAAAACAGTATTTGACAGAAAATTTGTTAAAGATCAGACAGAAGCGGTGTATTGTACAAATGTATTTATCTTTGACTCAAGGCTTTCTGTACACAAGAGGTTTTGCTTGCTTACCTTAATGAAAACTAACTACTTGATTTGGGAATGCTTTCATGTTAGAATTCCTGATAGTCTGCGAAGTTAACATTGTTGCTGTCTGACAGACGGAAGAAACCAAACTGTGATGTTTGATACTCTTGAGGACTGGCGTGATGAGTTGGAGCGGACCAAAGGGAATGTGAAATACAAAGCAGTGACTACCAATGAAGGCTACAGAGTCTCTGAAAAGTAAGCTTGCCTGGTTAATAGTGAACTTTAGATATACGTCTCATCAAGATTTGAAAAAATCAGTGCTACCTTTGCTAAGCATTACACAGTTGTTCAGGATTTTTCTAGGATCTGTTTTCCATTTTGATTTATGGGATAGTTTGATTTGGGACCTCAGGAGGTCATCTTACACAACCCCTGCTCAAGCAGGGTTAACTTCAACATGAGGTCAGGCTACTCAGGACCTTGGTCAGTCAAGCTTTGAATAGGTCTGGGGTGGAGAATACCACCTTGAAATGGAATAGAAAATATATAGGTCTGGTACCTACACTTTTGTCATACTTACTGGTTAGGACAACACTTTCTCAATCCTGTACCTTTACTCTGGTAAAATTTCAAGTTACGTGCACTTGAGATTTTCTGTTTCGGTTGCAGGGGAAAGAG